TGTCAGGATAGTTGGTGGATGTCTGCTGTCGTTTGCTCCTCTTTGTATGAAACACCCATGTTCCTTATGTCTCCTCTTTGTTTGTTGTATTTTGCTGTCCTGTATGACGTCTAGTCTTTGCCAGTTCTATGACCTGTTTATGGTGCAGGTACCGTAGATCTCTTACTTCAACTTGTTCTCTCAGATTTTCTTTGTTTTGAACATTATGATAATAGATACAGTCGGGCATGTGTATAGGGAAATCCACTGATCTGGAAGTCCTTTCATTATGCACAAATGTACAATGTTCATAAACACAAGGAATATACATATATGTGTAAGAAAAATTCCAGGACCCGAAAGTCTATTCGCTTTGTGCATGCTGGGTGCCTGTTTTCATCTCGACAAAATGCCCCATGTTCTCGACAATGAAAAAATAAGTAAGGTAAACTTGTGCTCAATTCAGAAGATTTTTGGCTAACTCCTAAAGAATGACACTTTTTTTCTGCCAGATCAAAAAAAATAATCAAATGTTACCTTTCCTAATCTCTCCCCAATTCCGGGGCCAGGCATTAAACGACGCGAAGCGAGAGCTCAAGTTCCTGCTGGTCTATCTACACAGTGAGGACCATCAGAATACGGAGACGTTTTGTCGGTGAGTGTGGACTGCAAGTTTTTTTTGCAAATAGTTTTAGTAAGGTTTTACGGCGCTCGCAACTGCACAAGGTCATATGAGCGCCAAGGGGTACATGTCAACAGAGAAGTCCATACTTACTCTGCTCACCTCTCTAGCCTCAACAGCACAAAGTCTGTATCAACTGTCAAGGCACCCCGGAAATAGCAGTTCACAAGAGAGTGACAAACATACAAAAGAAGTAGAGGAAAATGACGATAGTAAGGATGAGGAAAGAAAAAGCAGCAGTTCCCCCTATGTTGTTCCGGCACAATATGAGCATGACATTGATAAATCAGCCCATTTACAATTCTACTGTGCATCCATCCGGTGCCCTGCCGACTGGCGTGGGCGATCATGGAGCTCCACTTCACTCTGTCTTGCGTTGCAGCCATGGTGTCTGTTGTTCTTGCTGCTCCTAGCCATGTTGTCATCTTGTCCTGCTGTACATAAGAATATGTCAATAGCCCCCATTGGGAATGGCCTATAGACAGTTCAGTCAGTAGCCCTGCCGGGGGGGGGGGGGGGGGGGGGC